GAGGAAATGGAGTGTGAAATGAAGGTACCATGTTTGGAATTCAATCTCTACTTTACAATAGCACAACCTTCCCGAGGGAGCTTGCTTTGTCGGTTGATGTATGTTAAACATGATTATTGTGAGGTCGTGGTCTTGGAGAAACGATGTGTGTCATTCTCTTTTTTGGGAATACGTGTGGGGGATTATTACTGTTCACTATATTAGTAGGGTTCTATAGGTCGACTTTTTCTTATTTCACCTTTTCTCACTATCCTTGGGGACAGAAAGAGATAAAATGAAAATGATTACAGATTTAGTAACAAGTAGATTCAATCAAAGGTCAACAACAGTGCATTTAGTTCATATCAATATTCTCAAAAACTTTACCAATACAATATTACCAATAATTCAGTAATTGTATTTGTATCGATTAAGTAGTATACGGTGTTTTTTGTTGCCCCATTGGTCTTATCGTTATTAAATGCCTCGCTAACTCTCGAACTCTAGAGCATTTGAATCTGACTCTTGTCCACAAAGTGCATCATTAAAAACAATGGTGCTTATGCAATTATAGCGAGGTCAGATTGAATTTACGATTGGCATTGAAGAAAATCTTTTTAACCTAAAATGGTAAGATTAGATCATAACTACCAATTTGAATTGATATATGCCGATGATTGGACAGCGCTTAATTATTACGCCTTGGTAACAATGACTTTGGAGGGGTGAAACACAATAATCGCATTTAGTTGTACAATGAGTAAACGGAATTTTTATTCAATCAAAGTCATTTTACTTTAATTTAGTGCGACAATAGTCCGGCATACACAAAATTTGCTATATGCTTGGTAATATTATTAGTGATTCATCCGAGGGGGGAACTGACATAAGTCACAAATTATAGAAATAAAACGTGTACACTACCAATCAAGTGAGATGATCCCGAGTCCTGACTCCAAAATGAAATTATATCCTGTTATAAGCCTTTAAACACCTGACATGTGATCTTTTAATCAATTCTATTAGGTCAGAAAATGACAAAAATTATCTTTGAAATCGCTAAAGATAAACAGGCTAATCATAAGATCCAATCGCAGAGTTGGTGGTGTCAGACTTTTAGAGGGGAGTGAACTGCATCACTGATTGCATGCATATGAAAACTAAATATTACATATCTTAATCTGAAGAGTACAAAATATCTATTTGTTTAATTCAAATATAGTAATATATTGATTGACAAATAAATGTTGAAATGATCAATTGATGTTAATCCCCTATTGATAGATAAATAAATGTTATATTGTTCCCATCTTCATATTATGTCACTTGCTGATATAGCGATTGGGACGAATAATGCAGCCCGTAGCTTGATAATAATACCTAAGTATGAATGCATAATAAGGTTACTAATATAGATCTGAATTGCAAATGATATATAACAATTCTATGATTACAAGACGGTCATGCATGTGAACTAAAACTGGGGAGGTAATATGTAGACTATTACAAAAGATTGAGTAATCAATAATGCTTATTCCTAATGATAAAGATGAATTGTATTTCGGAAGTCTAGATGAAACATTTTCTCGCTTGTTTAGGCAGCCTGCAGATAAACATACCTTGGGCCTTTCCCATGGTAAAGTGAAGACAAACGTAGTAAAAAATGTCAGAATAATTAACCAGAAAATGTCAAAATAAGTATCAGTCTTCAAAAGTGATACATTAACTCCGGAAAACCAAGGTCAAATAACAAAAATTCCATTACTCATTGCATCAGACAACTCGAATTGACCTGCAATTGATTTCGATGTGATCTTAGAAAATACTTGTATCATAATGTAGTTCGTAAACTTCAGACCCTACTATATCTCTAGTAAAATAGGTTTTCGATTATATTTGCACACTCGTGATTTACAGGGGGTGAAATAAAAATGGTGCCCAACTTACGTTGCATAACTTGTTTGTCTATTAACATAAAGACTTGTCATTTGGCACATTGAAAGAAGACATAATGCCAAAGCACCTCGAGAAATTCCAGATATGTAGTTTAAGTGGGTCAAAGTTTATGGGCGTTGCAACATTTGCTCTAAATGGCATCCATTCCTTTGCAAACACACATGGATTCTACACAAAATATGCCATCCAGCTTTTGTAACATAACTTTGTAAATACTAATGATTTTGGATTGTACTCCATTGTAGTCCATTCAATTAAACACAAAATAATGTAAGAAATAATAACTTATATTCAAGATTATGTTACAAAAGGTGGGTGTCATTTTTTGTGTAAGATCCAGTTGTGCCAGCAAAGTAATGCTCATAAATGTGCATCTAACTGAGTTAGTCATCTGAAACTTCTTGTGAAGTTGCAAAATGGAGTGTAGTTTTGATGTGTGAAAAAACAAGTCAGAATTTTTCAGGCAAAAAAGTTATGAAATATTATGTGGGTGGGTGTCATTTTTGTGTTGCGCGGTAATACAAGTAAGTCACAAAGGCTAAGCTGATACCTTCACTGTGTACTTCTTATTTTTAAGTTTTGATACTTTTTGTAGTTGTTAATTAAGTAAAGAAAAGGTCCGGTGATAGGCAAATAAATTGCTAATAATCGTTACTAAACCAATCCATTGAACATAGTTCTTGTTAATGAATGCACTTGTCGGTTTTATAGGCTTTAGAGTAATGAAAGGTGAAATTGTGCTGACATTGACATTATCGTATGCCTTTCTCATTTCCCAAGAGTACTGGTGAACTTTAATGTTAAGTGCACTGTTAGTGTCATATTAAGAAATAAACTGTCAAAGAAAGGGAAACAATTAGTTGAATGTGGAAAGCCATACCACCAGGAATAAATGATTATGGCATTTATAATTATTTTCTCAAATACATGAATATAATATGTCCCATTTTGAGGGTTATATCAAGTGACTTCTTTCATATTATGGGCGCTTATTTGAATGGTCTGAAGGGGGTATTTTGAATTATCTAAGCGCCCCGGGTGCTAATTATAGAGAATACGATAGTATTAAAAGTGCAGTCTCCATTACCAATATAGAATTCGAAGATACTTCACAGTTCGACCAGAATCGATTTCGTTCTTTGTGTGAAGGTCATAGCCCGATGCTGAAGACAAGTCAATTTATATTTCTTGAATAGCACATTTCATAATTTGTATATTTCCTTCCTTGGGAAATCATCCTTGCAAAAACTCATGGCCACAACTTTATCAACCATATCCGGAATGGCTTTGATTGTTAATTTTGTCGTTTCTGAATGAATGCCTTAGTTCACAAGGTTTCAGTTGCTCCTCACCTTAAGAGTCGAAGATGAATGAATGTAGCGTTCCTGCCAGGTTCACGTTTGAATTGGGATTTGTGGACAGGAAGACAGGTGGTATGCCTAATGTCATTGAATAAAATACATGTTTAATGTTCCTTCTCCAAAGACTGAGGTGAATTATCAGAAAATAAATAAGGTACCCAGATATGTTACGAATTCAAATAATTAGTCTCAGTCATTGGTAGAATTTTATCATTTTATATTTACAATTATTAAAGAATGTATTTAAAGTGCAATGTATTGTCAAATTGCTGATATAAACGCTGTAATGTAATCAATGGAAATAATCAAGGTTGGAAGTCAAAAAATATAATGCGAATGTCATGATCGGAACAATGTCTTTATCAAACGCAATATACATGTATGTCCATTGTCCAATCAGTTTGTCCAAGGTCTGCAACACCTTTTCTTCCTTTGTAATATTGTATTCTGAAGTCTACAACTCTAGAAGGATATGGTTCTTCGCGGCCTGGATATAAACAGGGAACACAACATTTGCCTTCAGATTTGTATTACAAGCGTCCAAGGTTCAGTTTTGAAAACGTAATTCACAAAGGAATTGGATGAGAAGGGACAAGCGGGAAATCATGCATGTAGTCTAAGCTTTGCGGATGGATGTTGACCCTCTGAAATGGACTTCGAGACTGGTTTTTGCAATTGTCTGTCCCACATCATTTGAGACTAAATGCCATTTTGTATGAATACTATACCTACTATCTACAACTGCTTTTGCTGATGTTTTTATTGCATTGGTGTCTACAGTATACCTACAACGTATATTGTAATGGCTTTTGTATGACATTGTTTCTTTTTACGTTAGATTTTGGTTCGGGATAGTTGGGGTTTGTTTTCCTTATGATTAGTGTACACTTTAACATTTTCTTTTCCTGATGTGTTCCATGCAATTTTTGTCCTTTTCCTTTGGCACTTGTGCTTACATTTTGCAATTCTGTATGCAGTGAGAAAGACCGGCCCATGAGAATTCCAGCACCAATTCATTAGCCTTGTCGACACCGATACATCAGTTAAGTTGAGAACATCTCTCTGGGAATCCCGGGACTATCTTCTGATGAAGATAGTAAAACCCCTAAATAGTTAACCTTGTACTGTGTGCCGTGAATGTGTTCAACATGTAAGATATTCGTGTGAAAACTGAGATTAGATGTGTGAATATCATGGAAACTGGTTTAATAGATTACGTTTTACTAATGTGAACTCGGAATAGATAACCCATAAACCTCGTAACCCCTTGGAATAAAAGGTCCCGATTGAATAGACAGTGTCCACGTTTACACAGCATTACAGAAGCTGGATTACAAACAATGATTGAATGCCGTAGATATCTCAAAGAAATCTATATTGATTGAATCACCGACTGTGTGGTACGGCGACAAGCAATACAAACACATAGCCTAGTGTGGCGCTGATCTCAGTTCATAGATTCATGCTCTCTGTTGAGATTCTATGACATACTGATGTATAGTCCTTGTTTCAGTGGTAAAAGACTTAATCCGGATATCAGAAAATTGATGAAATATAGCCCGTCACGCCATCAGACTGTCGAGCAGTTATCATGACATAGAATTATATAGTTTCAATATAGGCAGCACATAAGGAGAACATTAATAGAAGAATCATTGTTCAGATAACCAGGTGTTCTGCAATACGGAAACCTCAAGTATTATCAGTTGCACCTACCCTGGAAGCTAATAGATCAAAAAGAAAACAAATTCAGTAAGCCACTCAAGTTCCCTAAAGTCACCTCAACAGCAGCATGAGATATTTTGGATACATCTAAGAATATTGCAAAATTGCCAAAAGGAAGATCAATGCTAGAGATCATGTTTTTAACTTTTGGAATTCCTTCTGTTTAACAGACTCGAAGGCTTTAGAATTATTGTAGGATTGCTCATACATTTTTCATTGGTGATTCTCTCTCAGAACATGGAGAAATTCCAGGAGCTTGCATAGACAAATATTAATTCAGTTTTTTGTTGGGTTTATTAAGCGTCATTGTTCTATTGGATCAATGAGGTGTACATGCTGGTCTAGAGGAAATCGTTGTTGCTCACTGCATTACAATCACCGGTATTGATAAGAGATCATCAAGCATTGTCTATGGTATTGAATTAATTCTAACACTCAATCGTGTGGATATACTTTAATGAGACATAATTCCGAGAATACACAAATTAAGTCCAAACAGGAACGAGTTAAAATGGAAATGATGATCGAAGGACACTTACGTTAAGCCAGTTTCATATAAGCCGATGGTATACGCATGCGCACTAAGGTAAAAAAAAAGTTAGAATTTGAAGACGCTCATCATGGCGGTCCTGCAGTAGTTACAAGCTCGTAATGAGGAATCATTATGTTGGTACGATTGGAGATTATATGCCTACTGTTGACCACTATCCTAGGCTGTATTCGGGTTACACTGCAGCTTCTTCACAGTGGTAAATATCTATATTTTCTAGGAGTTAATTTATTAGGATTTACAATATGACACTCAATCAATCACTTCATTTGTATTTATATATATAATGCAGGATTTAGTTTACAGATAAAATCGAATGTGGAACTGTTTGGTGAAATATTTGCTTTATTTCTTCTTTCAGTTCAGTTGTAGCGTTGTTAAAGTGTATTTAACGTATTCAATCATAGTTTTGGTTCACCATTTGCAACCACCAAGGTCGTATTTATTGTGTCTCGAATTATGGTATCCATTAATTACATTACGTTACAATCAATCATATAATGCATGTGGTATAATCAAATGCAATACAATACAGTATGCTACAATACAATGCTGAATTTGGAAATGTAACGGCAATACATACAATGTATTGTAATACAATATGATACAATATCGCTACTTTGCATTACAAGATCGTACAGTGCAATACAAAAAAGTACAATACAATACTATCATAGCACCAATAACTATTGTTGATCCATTACATCGATTACGTTCTCGTCCTTCAGTTCTTGCTTTGATGGTATTTTGCTTATTGTTGAGATTTTGTCTGTTGGTTGTTTTTGATTTGATATTCTAGTGGTCCTTCTTGCATTATCTAAAAATGTATTTTTGTGACCTGAAAATCTCACCTCATTAGCAGAACCCAATCAGACACAAATATAGATTTCCTAGCAATATATCCCGTGAATAAATCAGGAATAAGCTCATTTGGGCATATGAGAAAAAATATAATAAATCAATTAGTTGGATTTATCCAAGAAGTCTTTAAGGGGTTTCCAACAAGTGGGAATATTAATGACCAGTATGGTTACCTTTAGAATGTCTCATATTCCTCTCACTCAATCACCAGGATTCTGATTTATAAGACATTCAAGAGATTTATTAATAATGTCAAGAACGTGCACTTCATCATGAACTCGTTCAGTTATAGGGAAATCGTATTTTCAAAGCCATCGAATACGTAATTTTGTTATCTTAAAAGCGTGCTCTTTGCAAATGCGGAAAAATGAATGCTTACCAAAAATCAATGATAATCAATTCATCAAAAGGATGCGCAAATTTCTGTTGTTTACCCTCATTGTTCTCTCATTGCTAAAACACTACCTGGATGAATCTTTGAATACACATAATAAGATAAAATCAATAGATGTGGAGTTTTGTTTTGATGACATGTACTTCAAAATAGCTATTGTTATCATCACATAGCATCGTAATTTAATGCGCCCTCCCCCCGTTATCATTATAAAGGAAACCAACCCATTATTCACCATCATGAGAATCAATGGCCTACTATTAGCTTCTTTCTAGTTGAAGACAATAAGATGTAATGAGTAACAGAATGATTATTCAGGAAAATTCAGGATTATTCAGGAATATGATTAAAGAGTCGATCAAATAATTCTTATATGACTAAGGTGCCATTTTCCCAAAATAACTTCATCAGATCAAATGACCTTGACTTGTGAAAATATTTTGTACTGGGCAGCAACGAGCCATGATGTATGTAAAGTAGGGTGAGAAAAGTGTAAAACTGATATTGTGAAGTTTAGGTTGAAAACTAGAACATATACTCTTTCACCCAAACTGAACCATACGGAAAATATTGTAGGAATTCCTATCACAGATACATGTTCCAAAACCACTCATCTTCAATTTTCAAATTCGTTCACTCATCTATCTTACGGCATGCTATGTAATTTCCACACCATTAGTAACACAAACATATTATGTACAGTTTTATTTACAATATTACATTTCTAACGATATATTTAAATCGATCTTGAAGCAATAAGCAACCTTCTTGAATTCTTCCACCTGAATAACATCTTCGTTCACTCGGCCCCCGTCGGTCGATGAACGCAGTGAAGACTGAGCGTGCGAAGATACCTGGATGAGGGAATACGGGAATAACTGGGGCTTCTTTGTCATAATTAGCCCAATCAGCCTAATATATCTATGGAAACAACCTCATTTCAAAAGGCAACCTGATGAAATCGGCCCGAGGGCCAAGGCTTCACCATGCTGCCTGCTGAAATGAGGTTATTGCTATTATCACATCTTATTGGAAACTAAGTACAAACTGGTTATTCGCCCTGGACCATGGCGATTGTGCAGTATCTTTATCGAGTTAGCGTGTTATATCATTTGGTTACAATAGTTCACTCAAGGTCTACAAAGCGTTCATTATCCAGTGTATGTAAACCATTCATTATCCATCATGTAAACCAAAATTCCATTTCCACCTGAAATGAAATTCCATAGCCATAAAGTACATTTTTGCAATTACATTCATGCAACCTCTTCGATAAGCTTTGAAGCAAGTACCAATTCTAGTTCAAACAGATCGATCAATAACCTGACACATTTGCTTTTTATTCCTAGATCTCGATCCTCAATCTTAATATCAATCATACACATTCCTTCCTATTCTGTTTCCCTTTTGGTTCTGATTCACGCTACACTCCCCTCCCAATGTTTGGAAACGAGAAGTCCAATTTTGGAACACGTGTATCAAATTCATAAATTCTGACCTATTCTATACATCGAGGAGCAAAGGTCATCCAGAGGCTTTAAAATGATACTCAATTTTGGCTTCTGGTTGTCAGACTTATGGAGGGGGTGTACATCAGTCAAAGTCGCATGGATTGGTGTCAGTGAATATATTTATTTCACCCAGAAATGTGATTTGACGATTAAGAAATTCTCGTGGACTGCCGATTGGCATCCCTTACATGGCATGTTTTTTCTCAGTTTAAATCTATGATTGATCTTAGTATTTTTACCCGAGCTACACGATCCATTCATCATTCTACAGTTCCAGGATCCCTATATTTGAATTCAAAGCTAGAGTGGTCAAAACATACTTTCAAAATATGCTTACAACTGCAAATGTTCTCCTTAAAGAAAGCTCTTGCTTACACTTTAAATAGCGTTCCGACTTTTCCTGATTCGTATCAGTATTCCAACGTTCTGATTCAGAAAGTTCCCTAACTTAGTTTACACTTGAATAAGTAGTTCACATTTATTATATAAATTATGTTTCCACTGGGTAAAACGTGTCACATGCAAATAGGTTATACTTATAGTAACAGCGTTCGTGCATAGTTATAGTGCGCTATTTACTCATAAGAATGGCCATGTACAAACAAGGCATTATACTTTGAGCTATATCTAATCCCAAATACCAAGATGGAAATACCACAGAATTATTTACAAAATATAGCAAGAAAAGCAAATGACCAAGAGCACAAACAGTCATGAGGAAAACAATTTCTGGTTGGACAATTTTTTAATCCAACATAAAAATAGGTATCGTCTAACGACACTGTACAAAATGTTAAAGGTGTCTCAATTTTACAACATGTTACATGCTAAACGCCTATAAGTGTACTAAAACATGTGTATATTAGATTCACCAAAGGAAATAAATCCATTTGCGAGTATAACTTTCACCCATGGCGTGATATCGATTTAGAATTCATACGATTGCTTCCACCCCATATATCATCATGCCCTGACAGTGGGTGGAAATTATGAATATATCAGCTAACAAGTCATTCTCTCGCGACTGGACCAAACACTTGTAGCCTGGATCGTATGTAAAACTTATTTCATGAAGATTTATTAGGTATCAACTAACTTCTACAGTCGTATGACCATCTAATGGTCTATGCATATTCAAGCAAAACTTTAATATCCGCTCTCATAGAGAAGACATAAAATACTTAGGTGTAAATCAAGTCAGTGTCGGTAATTGTTGTGACACTTAATGATCTGGAATAGATTATTAGACAATTAGAGCTGCACTTGTGCAACCCAGTTCATTAGATTGCCTGTTTTCGGCATGTTTTCCCTTGGCTAATTGCCTCCATTATATAAGAGGCCCTATGAATTATGCTGTCAATTAAATATCTAAACTATAATTAAGGAAATAGCAACCGGGTTGTTTCTACTTTTAACTGTAGTGAGGCCAATGGGAGCGTTCAGTAACGTGTTACACCATAGATGTCCATCCCAAATGAAATTTGATCTAAAAACAGGAAAACCTATTCACGATGTAACCTTACCGTATGATTTAATTTCCTGCCGATTAAGTCCGTCTAGTGCCATACTTTATTCGAATATATATATACCTTATATTCAAACATCGCTATATATTGCAGTGATCACTTTCTAGCCAATCAGAATACAATACAGCTATTCTATTTTTTATAACGTATGTATGGTCAGTAAAGAAAAACTGTAGCAAGTTAGGGTAAACTTGACCTTGTATAAAAGAACTATAAAAGTCATCAATGTGATCAGCAAAGTATGTGTTTATATACAGGTCTTCCAATGGTCCAAATCGTATTTAAATCATCCAATGCTTTGTTCAATGCATTTTGATATTTGTGAAAAGTAGATACTGTATTTGATTTAATTCACCTGTTTCTTATTCCCCACCCTGCGCGCAAAGTCCAGTCAGCTATCTAAAACCGAAACTCTATTTTGAGATGCGATGTCAAACGAATGCTAAGGCACTTGTTACCTAGTCTATAGCTCGGCCTATCAATATCTTAAAAGCGTTGCATGCAAAATCTCATTAAATTGTTCAATAATTCACCAAGTTCATGACATAAATCCATTGGTGAAGAATACAACTTATATCCACATATACAGTGTATGCAAAAAGAATTGCAACTTTGTTTAAAAGGCTAGAAAAGTATCATAACATTATGGCATTGACATGAATTATTACAGAAACTTAAGGAGAGGCATATTTTACCGTTCAATTACGAGAAGCGATCAGAAAGGAATGGACTGTTTGGTCTAATTTCATCAGTATTAACCCTTTCTTTTTAACTTTTTCATACAATATAACGTGTACATTGAATATAACACTGACAAAGTTTCATTGTTCTATGACATCACATTATCATTTTATTGGTTGCCATAGTTATTAAGGTAGGGTCAGGCTGGATGTGATATTTTATTGGCGTTTTTTTAAATATTGTCTGATCGGCCCTGGTAATTAAGCTTCTACTGACTTCAAATGTTTTTGTCAGAACTTTGAATATCAATGGTAAATTGTTCATGTGTCCAAGATTTACCGTTTTTCTCTCGAAATTGTGAATTTCTACGCATTCATTATGTTATATTAAATCTGCTACAATCTTTGATAACTAGTGTATGGGGCAACCTGATATAGAGAATAAACAAATGCCAACTTATTCGAATATGAACATATGTTTTACCTTTTTGTATTAAATCACTATTTTTGGTAAGATAAAGATCAGCTATGACATAATCTTGATCATCCACACCTGCCAGTAACTTAATTTAAGGTAAATGCACATAAGGGATACATGTGGGAAATTTTAGATACACATGGATAAGTAAGATGTTTCTTGGGTAGAACCAGGTGCTTCTTAAGATAAAGTACACCCATGGTAATTTAGGAATATTCTATTATTATCTGACACTCTATTGTATCGAACCCGGGTAAATGTTCCATTTCTAAATTTATAAATAGTCGATTCCAGCTCAAATCAAACTGGAATCAACTTTAGATTTGAACACTGAGTTATTCTATGGGTGATTTCACTTTCAGCATCTTTGTTGAATGATATTGAAAAGCAGATATTGTCTACAAATGTACAAATGGTTAGGCAAAATAGGCACAATGTGATTTCTATTTTGCTACTATTGAATCTGGTATGGATTTCTGAAGTTTCCGCTATCTAGAACCTAAATCTCCCCGATTATTGTAAACTCGATTGACTCCAATGTTAGGCTATTGCCAGGAGCTTATGCTGAAATAACCAGAATAGATAGGATGCCAAACCAGACTGTATTACGATTACATAAAGGCTCTGTGCAAGCACCAAAGTCAGGTACTCTAAGTACTATGCTAGAGATACAAACATCGTTTACTTCCACTCTAATCAGCTAATTACGGCATCTCGTCTAGTAAATATCTTGTCTCTAACGTGATGATTTTGCACAAATAAGTTCGTAAATTGGTTTTATTAATCTCCAATACTTCTTTATTTGTCAGATTCATTATCGTGTGTCATAGAATGGATGACTACGAAGCTCGGACTGTTGATCCTCGCAAGTAAAACCAAATGATACGTGGTTGACCTTCAGATTTAAAATGTTGATTGTATGTGTGTAGCAAATAAATCTACAGTTACAGTATGTTAGAGATTTGATAATCAGCATAATGGCTATAGCATGGGTGTATTCATTGTATTGACATAGCAATACATCCAGTAGAGCAATATCACGAAATATTAGAAAATATCTATGTTATGGCAACTTTAGCAAATTGTATCTGTGTAACCATCTGGGAAAATATATCACATTTACATAGCATTCCTTAAGGTAAAGATATCTAACATCTTGTGTAAAGCCTCAGTCATATTTGCTCTACGGTGGCCGTACTGCAGCCGTAGCTTCACAAAATATATATAGAAAATCTACATCGTACAGTGCTTGTCCTTAAATTTTATGCTTCATATTTCTCTCGAATGTGAGAAGCTACGACCACTGTAAAACGGTTGCAGTAGATCAATTGTGACCAAGGCATTCGTTTCAGAATATATCAAACAAAATGATATGTGAACAGAGTAAAATCAGTGCCATTTCATTCTTTTAGCTTTGGGAAGTGATAATACTTGTATAACTCATAAACCTGCTCGAATAAACTAAACAATGATATCCTTTCTTCTTCCAGGTTTGGGCAGTGAGGATGAAATCCGTTTAGTAGAGGATTTATTTAAAAAGCAAGGGTACAACCCACTAATCAGACCTGTCAAGAACCTGAGTGACAACGTTACTGTTAAACTGGGCCTGGCTATATCTCAAGTAATAAATGTGGTAAGTACAAAAACCCTAACCAAAATATAAGTAAACAGCATACTACCGACCAAATCTATCAATTTTCTAATGTGTCTCTAATTTTGCCCTTCGTGTATTTTCTCATTTCGAAACACACATTTCTTTTAATGCATTATGGAAATAGTATAATATTCCAATCATTTGATTAACAAGGTTATACGAATAATACAAGGGCAATACTATCATATTGGGTGTCCTCGATCGGCAAGTCAATGTATACAATTAGTGAGTACTAAGGGTGCGGCATAGGAGTCAGTTAGAATGTTCGTATGATAATCTAAGATGGCTCTTGTATGTAATTCCAAGACGATAATGGTTGTAAATTATCTAAGAACCATGTAAATCAATGTCAAATGTCATCATGCCCTTTACTTATCAGAGGAATCAATCTCATATATCTTATTCGATTCCAGGAGCAAATTATATTCACCAAAGGATCTAATACTTGCGATACTCCTTCTACCTCTCTAGATATACGACACAATGCCACGTTATGTATTATCTAATTAGTTTTTCCAAGTGTTCATTTTGCAGCTTAACTTCTTATTGATCATCGTTTATTCTATATTAGACAATATTGGAAGGTGGAATAGAAACGTTCTTGTCGTTCTAGAACCAATTATGCTATCTACTCTTGCAGATATTCTCGATATGTCCAACATCTAAATTACATTTCCGCTGGTTTATATATTTATAATTTGTATAATATATGTTTTCATCTATGAAATGACCACTTTAGTCTGTGTGGCGTCATGTTGTCGTTTATTTCACTTGAGGCGTGGATTCACCTTTGGATTTGTATGGTATAATGATTAAATTTGCCACCCCCCCCCCCCTTATTGGTTCCCAGATCCGCCCCTGCTTAGTATGTCTATATGTAATACTAAAAATGTTTAGTCATATGAGTTTTATTTGGAAGAGTTTATATATCGATTGTCTCTTGTCAATCAACACATGATGCTGATAACTTATAAATATTGACAAATGTGAATTTGTCAATGGTATAATGTTCCTCCTGGCTATTTATGTTTCCGTTCAGATCAATATCATAAGAATGTAAAACAAATCTTTATTGAGCTGATTTTACTATAGAGAAAAAACGTGCTACATTAAATAACATTTATCAAAGGTCCTTGGCAATGCCTACAAATATCCAGCCTCCTTAAAAATGCTACAGTGTATCATAAAAAAAGATTTCGTGAATTTTATTTACGTACAATAGGTACAAAATGGCAAGGTAAATGTATAAGTGGACACAAATTTCTTTAATTCCGAAAAATTTGTACCGTGAATATAAGTGTTGTAATTGTAATTAAATAGTGTTTGGTAATACCGTACACTTGGGTTTTCATCTTATAATGATTGTATAAAAAAACAGTATACCATGACATAATACCAATAATTGTAGAGATGGCGTCGTGACACTGTTTGATTGGAATTCTACCCTAGTCTGTTAGTCCCTTCCAGATGATTAGCTCAGTTTGGACGGTCTTATATGTGTTGGTATAAGCAGATTATCTGATTATCTTGTTTTCATCGTAAATGCTTTTGTTGACGTAATATATGTCTGTGGTACCTGTGCTCAAACGCATTTTCAGATGAGATGATTAAAAAGAAAGCTTAAAGAGCTACAGAGAATAGTCAGGGGAAATTCTCTGTTGAACTGACAGCTGTTAAAAATTGAGTAGAACATTAGTTATTATTTTCGACATATCTCTAGAACTGTTAACCATGCTTTGTCATCATGCTGTTATTTAATTTAAAATCGAGTATCAATGGCACAAAATAAGCGCGTCTTTTGACATCGTAAGATCAATCACAACAATCTTCGTCATCAACATGACTTCATGACGTTTATCATGATTTCTTTATTGCATTTAGTACATTTTGAGATGTACTACATGTATTGTTGATATACACATGATATATGTACTTATACATATGATACTTGAATAGCATACCATTTAACTTGTTAGCATACCATTTAACTATGGAACTTTGGTACACATTATTTACTTTTACATGCGCCAAAATTATCTTATGATGATTGGGTTAACGGTATCAAAAATACGTTTTTAGTATACTAGTAGTAACTCATCCTGATAATAAATGGGATACATTTGACACACATAACAAACTACTCTACACGTCATCGGTTACATACAAATGTAGGCACATATACAATTACTTTCAAAACCGATCCATGCACGATTGCCTGGATATCCAGATATAGTACTTACACTGGTCAAATATCATGTAATCAATGGGTTATAAAAAGTAGCTTTTTCAAAATCACATCATTTCTTTTCCTGATTTAAACAATATTAAGGTTAAAAGAAAGATTAAAATGTTTTTCTTAAAAATTACAAAATTCAAATATATAAGGATATGTGTACTTTATCTAAAATATTTTTGATTTATACATCCATATATACGAGGGGTGATCAATAAGTAATGGACGCTTTTTTACACAGATGCTTTTTATAGACCAATCCCTTCGATTTTCTTACCAGTGATACATTATTCAATTATCTATCAACTCTGAAGATTTGAAAACAAAACATGTAATATATTTTGATATATCTTTATTCCCATGAAGGAAGTATAGGTAGCCCGGGACCGACATGATGTTAAACATTCCGAAGCTATTTTAGCTTGTTTAACATGCAATGTAGTTGAACGCAGGCTGAACAAAACAAACCATTATGGTCATGAATTACCCCATTTTGTTATGCCATAGTTGGTTTTGAATATTTTATAATCACTTTGTGGTATTCATGACACATTCATTCCACAGGGCCCTCTACATAGGTTCCATCAAGTGCTACATGTACACACTTTTTCATCCTCTTAACTCAAGATTGTGAGATTAGGCTGAATCCATTCTCTGACATGGTAGCAAGATGCAGTTGCACAGGTTGTTTTATTTCATCAAAGGCAATAAACCTGCGTCCCTTCTATATAGAATAAGTAGTATAGAAATAAATAAGTCACATGTGAGCAGATCTGGACAATATGGTGCATTGGCCAAGGGCTCAATTTTGAGGTCCAGGGATATTGTTTTCTGAACATTTTAAGATATGTGGGTAGGTACATTGTCCATATGGAGTAGGGTGTTCCCTTCTCTCACCAACCCCTTCTTCCACAATGCTTTCTCAAATTGACCTGCGAACCATGACCTTACAACACTCTGACATCACAATACTTACTGTTGATGTGTTACCAATCAGCAATAGATTTCAAACAACACAACACTTGTTGCATATAAAAAAGTTCAAATCTAACTGAAATTTGCCAAACTGGCTAAAAACTGAATATGTGACGTAAATGTCGGTCCTGGGGTACCTGTACCTCCTTCGTGGAAATAAGGATATATCAACATATATTACATATTTTGTCTTCAAATCTTCAGAATTGATAGATAATTGAATGACGTATCACTGGTAGGAAAACCAAAGGGATTGGTCTATAAAAAGTATCTGTGTAAAAAAGCGTCCATTACTTATTGATCACCCCTCGTATAAATATTGTACATTAATATATACCTCAAATGTATTCTAGATGCTCATTGGCTTATTCATGGTCACATGACATGGAATAGATGAACTAATTCCCTGGAAAGTCCTAAATCCCTGCTTTCAGGGAAGATGAATTGTACTAGTAATCACCAGTTAGGTCATGTGACCAGTCAATAGTACGTTTTATCTTCCCCCAAATCTGAGATTATAGGAGTTGGAAGGTAAAATGCCTTTAAATGCCAATAAGAACCTGTGAACGTTTGATATTGAAATGAAAAGACTTCTCATTTTGTTTTTGTTTACAGAGTACTTATCGGGTATATAATAAAACAAATAGTGACTGCCACATTTTCGGGACATAGTGTAAAAAATTTCCTCTCGGGAATATCCTGTCCACTGACTTGTTCCCTCGGCTTGCAGCCTCGGGAACATGTCAGTGGACAGGATATTCCCTTGAGGAAAATATTTTGCACTATTTCCCTCAATGGCAGTCACTATTTGTACATTGATACGAGGGTTGTCCCATAAGTCTTGAAATTTTTATTCTAATTCAAAAAGATTTTAATGAATTTGGCTGAAAATTGGTATGTATCAAGATCAATCAATTATCTTCAACATGTGAAAGTTTCATAACAAAATTATAAACTTGAGTAACTATTATGGTTGCTATGGTAACCGGGGGAGTCGGGGGGTGGGGCAGTAATGAAATATAGTAAAAATGTTAAATGGAGCCATGGGAGTATTGAGGATTTTAAAGGATGGTATGGATCTTAAATTGCGAATCACCTGTCAAGATTGACAAAAACACTTTATTCTTGGTAAAATCTTATGAAATACCTCAGTGATTTCATAATAAACTAGCACAATTGCTGTATTTTGGTACAGAGCCACAGCATTTTGAAAATCAAAATGGCAGGAGTTTCGTCACCAGATGTTAAATGTTTGCGTGCAGTTGTGCAATACCATGCTATTTTAGGGCATACACCTACACAAACAAGAATAGCCATGGAAAAGGTATATAGACAATAAACTCCGAGTGCACCTACAATATGTAGGTAGTAGACGAAGTTAAAAACTGGAGATACCAGCCTGGAGGATGCTCCTAGAAGTGGAAGGCCAAAATCCAATGACGATCTCATATCACATATTGCAATATTGCAGGACTGCAAGGAGAACTACTCAGTGTAGGGATATAGCCCCAGACTTTGATATTAGTAAGAGTACTGCTCACAGAGTGATGAAGAAACACCTTGGAATGTCAAAGGTAGCCCCTAGATTCGTTCCACATATTCTGACAGAGGATCAGATTAGGCAACGTGTTGAGCTGAGCCAGTGGTTTCCAAATCCTTAATTTTTACGTCATATTTGTATTCTTTATCCTGTTTTCTGCCCCGGGTACCCCCAACATTCCATTTTAAATCATCTGTAACATTGCCAAATGATCTTATTATGCTATGAAACTTACAGAGATAGTAGAAATATATTTTATCATTGTATCTCAAATATTTTTTGAATTAGAATAAAAATTTCAAGACTTATGGGACAACCCTCGTATATCACACATTTTTTAGTAAATTGTTATCTTTGCCTTGTATATATGTTTATGAAATAAAAAAAATAAAAAATTAAACATAGCTCGCCCATTGGCAAACTCATAGCACCTCTATTTTAAAAAGCGAAGTTAAACGACTGGAAAGGACACAAGGAATCGAATGGGTAAAACATAAACCATAATGTGTCCGAATCGACTTGCATCGCTGGACTACTTCTTTTCCCACTGCGCTATACAAGGTGATCAGGTAGCCCGTACATGGCCACCACAGATTTAACATGTTTCTTATCTGTTATCGAGTACCAATAACATTTTGATTTCCTGAGAATGATCCATCATATGGTAATGATACACCAACAGCATATTCGATAGAATACACATAGGAACATATTAGGGAGTTTCCCTATTGAATAGAATCGGTCGATTAGAAATTAAAAATTAATTTTTGGTAAGTGACATAATTGGCATGGTTTATTCATGAGTATACCCATATATTGATTAGAATAGATTATCTTATTGTATTATTTGGAAAGACAATTATCTAGTTTTGTTATCTCATTGTAAACGAAGAGACACGTTTTGTGATCGTAGTTCTACAGCATTGCACAATTACATATACATGTAAGTACACATATAGTACATAAAATACGGCTATGGTCTTGTGGTTTTCTTTTCAATATTAATATATTATACTTCTCTTGGTCGTTGATTATGGATTGTGTACAGCTGACCATTTTCACTATTTTAAGAGTACATTGAATTAATGGTATCATATCCGTATGGAACACACACGCTACTTTAATGAACCTAATGAATATGTCAATACAATACAAGTCTATAATGATTTGATTAAGACTTTCTCACTATTGATATTCATCTCATAATAAGAACATATCGACCATGAGGGTGATAATTTGAAGACTATTTGTGATTTTATTGGTTGTACAAAAACATGGTGTGAATACATTCAGTTGGCACAATGATCGTACAATGAGCACATCGATCTTACTATTAGGAATGTATGAGACAATGCAAAATATTATTCATTCAGACTGGATCAGAAATGCAATGAGACATTATTGTATATTCTTGTTACTTTGGTCATGTTTCTTGAAACAAATACTATAAAAAGATTTGGTTCTGACTAGGATAAAATATTTATTTATCAAACATTCTGGAAATTGATTGGCAAAGTTTGTCGAATGAAGTTTAGTTATGAAAGTATCACTGATTGAGGAATATACGGTATTATCCCGATAATTGTATTCATAAGTCATTGGACAGACGAACAGATACTTAGAATGTTCTTATTCAATTCAATATGAAATGAAATCATGGAAAGTGCTTGATTAAAATGACTCATGATTTATGGTTTGATTCACTAAATGCTATATTTGCCGGAGACCTATGGCATGTTGTTGTTCGTGAGACAAAGTGGTGCAAGAATTCAACAGAGTTATCACTGCAACTTAGTATCATTGAACTATTGTCTATAAGTATAAGTTCACATGTAGCACCTGAGATACTAGAGAGTTTAAGCTAGCGATATTTTTCACAACGTAACCGTGAACGCAAAGCCAATGAATCAAAACAGTAATGTTTATAGCGCGCATACAAAACAAGCGCTACTAAGTCTACTTCAAATAGGTATGACCCCGACCATGACGGCCTTTACTACAACACACTTTGTCATAACTCATGTTCTTTCATTAGATGTTTCTAATTCTCCCCAGCTCAAATCTCCTTTTTTACCAGAATCCATTTTCCTTTCCTTAAACACGTTTATCATGTCCCTTGCATCTGCAGATCTACAATAATCCACCAACAGTACGAGATATTTCTGCCTTACCCGTGTTACCACAGCAGAAAACAGCTTTTATACTTACAAAATCTAAGTATTATATAGGGCATATAAATGTACATGCGTTTATGATACGCATATATATCAATGACGTAAACGTCTACGTTAAAAAAAACATTATTTCACGTTATATTACTAGTTTACTTTAAACGATCTCTTATATTTTCAGGACGAAAAGAATCAAATTATGAAATCGAACGTGTGGCTTCGTATGGTACGTATGACGTTATTTATTTTAATACTTAAAGATGCATTCATTTTAAATTTCTTTTGAAATTCTTGGCGACACCAATCCCCCTTTGTTTGGTGATTTAAAAAATATCAACTTTATGAGGCTTTCCTTGAATCAGTGTTCAAAATCATTTGGAGGGAGGTGAATCTCCGTTAAATACTTGAAAATAGAAATAAAGTATCATAAAAATAAAAGTATATATCTAAATTGTGTGCTACTGTGGAACGCATATAACTAAAGATGTTGTAATGGTCCGTTGTACAGGAATCTGGATATAAATTCTGATAATATGATATTGGCACACACATTTAAAGTAATTCATAAAACAATCGTTTTAGTAATCGCATAGATTTTTATAATTGATTGAGTATGCTACGCTGAACAGTGAAGTGGGATAGTCTACCAAGGTGTTTGTCATGTGAAGGAGTGTTGCAACTGAAATGTGATCCACTGTCAATACGATAAATTAGCTTGAGGTAACAAATCAATAGCGCGTGATTAGCCTTATAAATTCGATATTTTATACCAACTTGAATATGCTTATATTTCTGCCTCTATACATATAAATCACTTTGGACATGTTTGGTTAAGATGTGGGTAATTTCTAATTGTAAAAGTGTATATGATATTAGATAACTTCAAATCAATACAATAAATACGATGAAATAACGTAATAATAAAATATTGCCACAGGTGAAACGTATTAAAAGGCACTAAACAAACACTAAAAAATGAACATTTTACAGATACCCATTCCCGTAAGCTACTTGCTGTAAATAAGCAGATATTTAAAATATAATATGAAACATAGAATTTTATAATCAGAGTGAACATCACTTTGCAATGTCCCAATATTCAAAACCTTTCTAGTTTAACGTATGTAGCAGCTACAAAGCTATCATTCAAATGTTCCAAATGCTGAAATAAGCCTTGTTTAACTTTAGCTACAGACCTACTCAAATAAGCCTTGTTTAACTCAACTAGCTACAAAGCTATCACATTAATGTTACCAAAGCTCAAGCCTTATGTAACTTAACTAGTCACAAAGTTACCCTTCAAATGTTCCCAATGCTCAAATAAGCCTTGTTTCGCTTTGAGTATATGTTGGCTTCTAAATTATAATTCAAATGCTATCAAATGCTCAAATTAGTCTCGTTTAATACAAAGTATATACTAGCTACTTATTAATTATCATGCTAATTACTACTAGCCAATAAAGTATTATTCAGATGTTCCGAATGTTCGAATAAGCTTTATGTAATTTAACATATATTCCAGCTACTAAACCATTGTCAAAATGTTCCAAACTATAGCTGGTAAGCTATCAACCAAAACTTTCAAATGAAGCAATGTTAAGCTTAATTAACTCAATTGTCGACGTCATAGATCATGGTAAGTAACAGTGACTGTTAAAAGCAAGTTATGTGTGCCTAACGTCTATTAATAAAGACACTGTTGTCGCTAGATATCAACCATTTGGGAATACTTTGGTATTTCTATCTTCAAATTGCTTTCACATAATGTCAGATGCCACACAAGACAAGCATTAGCTTACCATCAATTATCATTATGGCACAAGACTGAGAAACGTGCCTTGCACGTTTAACTTTTTGTTCAAGATGTTCCACGCTGATTAGAGGCATGACATTAGAGACACGACTACAAAATATATAATAAAAACAAACATCTAACAAACAATGGCAATCTGTTTGGGATGTTCAACAGTTCAAGCAACACGAAATTAATTGTTAATCAACCAGCTCGATAGTAAATATTACTTTTGTTCAAATTAACACCATTTTTTAATATTACAGGGTAGGCCAAAAAAGTCCACATTTTTGTTTTAATACAGCTTTGTTGATATTACAGATAAATGTATAAATCATATATCGTTTGAAAGACAATTCAATTTCCAACAAAGCGATATATAGTTCAGTCAATATAATTGAGTATTTGTCTTAAAATATGATTTTGATTACCATAGGGGTCAAAATCCTAATTTACGATTTGCTGAATACATAATGCTGTTAACTGACCAGAAAGATATAACCCCTATTTCAGCTTTGGGTATATATTTCTAGTTATGGAAGGTCAAAATTGCTGATTTGTGTACCATATGAAAGAGAAATGATTTACAAATGCAATATTATTGAGTTATTTTACCTTTTTCATAATTATTGGTAAAATAGCCTAAATACTGTAGTGAAGTCTGTATCAGATAGTTGAATATTTACTAATTTTCAAGACATTTTGGTGATAAAATTATCATGAAATGGGAAATAATGATGTTGTACTTATGCAACTTAACTGACATTTTAAATGACAGACAATGCAATTATAGACACCAGAAGAGGAAATAATGGAAAGGAGAAGGAAGAAGTATCGGAACAGATTTTGGACAGTCATATATTGGATTTGGGCTATTTTTGAGGATTTAAACAGGTTCATATGTTAGGCCAATGCATTATCTCCAGGAAAAGCACTCATAGAGATGATAAAATAATTTCTATTTTGAAACAGGGGAGATGCAAACAACCCACCCACGTGTTTTTTCTGAAATGTTTTCCTGATTTTCAACCCCTTCCACCCCTGCTTTTTCATTTTTGCATCAATATGTTACGTTTTAAGACACAGTTAATCCCTTTAAAGGAATAAGTGATTCCCCTTCGATAAAGTGGAAAACAATATTCCCCATGTTATTTTCCCATATGGAAAACTCATGCGATCCATTGCTTTCAGCTAATTTTGGTCACCCATTATGGATATATTTAAAACCCTAGGAGGAATTACATATTCCTTTAAAATGGTCACCCGTGTGTCAAAACGCAAAATATTGATGCAACAAAAATTGGAAAAGCAGGGATGGAAGGGGTTCAAAATCAGGACAACATTTCAGAAAAATGTGGATGGGTTATTTGCATCTTCCCCGTCTCAAAGTCAAAATTATGTTATCATCTCTATGAGTGCTTTTCCTGGAGATAATGCATTGGCCTAACATATACACCTGTTTTAATCCTGAGAAAATAGCAAAAATCAAACATATGACTGTCCGAAATCTGTTGTGATACTTTCCCTCCTCCTTTATTCCATATTATGGTTTGTGGGAAAAATTCAACTAAGTTTCTTTGCAAAATGTGTTTGAAGCAAATAGCAATGTATCTAACAAGCTAACTTTATAACGAACTATAATGCATAAAATAGGTCCCGTTTTAGAGCTATAAAATGACTTACAAACAATAAAATTCAAGTACAATACTTTTTTTTATAATAAAAGCTCAAAAGTTTTGTTTAAGCAATGCAATATTGTAAGCTTAAAACATATAGAAAAAAATAGTTTTTGACTGCCACTACCTCAAGATGATACATAAAGGCCCACCAAACGTTTCCCCGCTAACCTGCAATGTCTCTGTTAGAATCGAATTAACCGATCCTTATTTTGATAAAAATATGTCTAAGCCAGATAAATCTAAACACGAAATTAAGTTAACCACCACTATCTTAAGATTAAAAGAAAAATCTTGTTTAGTGATATATTATCTGACGGGGCACAATACACATTTGCTCGGGATGATTCACTCTATCAGGTTTGACGATCGGTTTTATTGTAATCCGTCCCTTATTTTGTTCTCCAAGGAAAAAAGAGTTAATCTCTTGAAAAAAATAATGTCATTTGATTTTCAGGAAGACATTATGAGAACAACACGATAGCAAGACTGATTCCATTTGATTAGCCTCTAAATAGAATGTTTTTCTTTCAAATGACATATATTTTTCCATTAGATTCTTAAGCTGTGAAGGCATGATAATGTCACTGGGTTAAATCGTTACTTGCCATTCGATTGATTTATACCTAACTGCTTAACTAACTAGGGACTTTCTGCTGTAAATCAATCAATGAACCGAGCGAGAAGTGCATTTTAATTAAAATCATGGCAACGAATTCCTGGACTTTATTAAACATGTTTAAATGTTTTTTATGTGAAAATTGAGGCAAAGATGAACAAAATGGTCATTTATGGACGTGGCATTGGCCTTGAAATTGAAGATTACAGTAACCAATATTTAAGATGTTGACATAGATTTTAGCATACTCATGTGTATTGGTAATCATGTAGAATAAAAGTAATTTGAAAGTTTATGAGAGAGCACTGAGGTACATCTTTTGTATTTGCTTCTTAAAATTTTACAACTTTCAAATGGCAATATCTATATTTCCAATATATATATATTATATATGTTTCTCTTTGTTAGCTTGTTTTCATTTGTGTTTGCCAATATTCCTGTATATTTAATATTTATGTTATCTTGGATATTTCAAATATGCCATGCTAAGATCTAAGATAACCAGGTATAGCGATGACCCTAGTGTTTCTTACTGGCGATGAAAGCAACATATACCTGTATGAGAAGAGTTTTACAGAAGCGATAAGTGAGGAAAGTGAATCTACAACACCTCTGACTGCTTTGAAAATATTTGAGAACATGCTCTTTTATGTTTTTACAAAACTCCATCTCCTTATGGTATTTCCCTTTCAAAGTTAATCTATGGAAGTAATCAATTCCCTCGTTACATTAGCTGCACTGTATTGAATGAAACAAATATACATTTTGAAATCTCAGAATATCCATTCATCCATATACAAACGTTTCGTCGTGGTATGTGGCACTGGTATAATCTAAATATATTCATGGTTTTGCGAGGGTCGTACTTACCAGTAATGTAAACTAATGTGTAAAGTGAAAGCTAGTGAAATCTCTATGGCTTTGCTTTGCTAATCTCAGAGAATGTTTCCTGACACTTCACTGCAATGTAAATATTTGAGAGTAACCTTTGGGGTAAGGTATAATATTGACCTTCACTTTCAAAGTGAAAACATATCAGATATGTTTTTGACGATTTCGGAAATACTTATATTTGGTTTAGTATTGGTACACAAGTCGTCGGGTTTTATGTTTTTCAGCATCACCAACAAATGGATTATATAGCTAAGGTTTTGTATACTACTGATACTCCCACACCTATTTATACCTATTACTATAAAGCATCAACTTTTCCAAGGCTACTGGTTGTTATCCTAATCTGAATACATTCACGTTTCAGCATTAGTAAAACCTCAACTACTTGAAGGTTTTCATCTTTAATGAACAAAAAGGAATGTGTGTGAAGTATTAGACACCGTTATTATTCGCCTAATGGTTTTTATTTGCCTAATGAACGGCATGCACATGATCTATTTTTGTAGCTTTGGAACGATCCACAATTGGCGTGGGAAGCAAGCGACTATAATGGTATTACATCTATCAGAGTTAAACCTGATAAAGTTTGGAAGCCAGATATTGTTCTTTTCAATAAGTAAGGTTGCATTCCACCTGTTCGTGTCCTACCGTACGCACTGATGTGAATAACATGTTTGTTTACTAGTGTTAAAAGATTTTGTAGACGCGATGCAAAGAAGAGTCTCTGGGACACGAAACTGTGGTGAATCACTTTCATACAAATGGACAGAATTCTTCTTTGCATCTACTAGATGGACTTTGAAATCACGTGAAAAAATTGCAAGTGCCCAGATCCCTCTCCCTATAATGTATTCATCAGAATGGTTAATATACAATCTGTTCTGTCACATTTTATTCATTTTAGTTATGGCATGACTTTCAAATCAGGTGGGACCCAGCGGATTATGGAGGTCTCGCTGTTGTTCGTGTAAAACCTCAGACAGTATGGACGCCTGATGTTGTTTTATTCAATAAGTATGTTTAAAATGCCTTGCTTGTATATTAACCATTTGTGGCATATTGTTTGAGCCAGTACATTATCAACTGCTTCACATATGCTCCTAACGGTACCCAGTGAACATTCATATGCCTACTAAATTGTTACGACATGTGTACCAGATACACTCATGTGCTTCATTCTTAATTCTAAGTCACCTCTACTAAACATAAGTGAAATAATATCTCGACCCTAATGTCTGCTTACAATGGTGTCATCATATGACACTTATCGGTTATCATCAATTAATTTTAAGTAAACAAAATATGAGTGAAACAAGTGTTTCACTCATATCTGCTTAAAATATTAAGACTTTTTACTCATTAATCAGATATTTTCATTATAGGTGTGTGTTGTGAACCGCAAAAATGTCTCACTTAAGAAAATGTCAGTGCCACATACATTTCTTAATCTATACGGAAAACAAAATTTTGAAAAAATGGATACCACAGAACTTTTCTTAAAGGAGACACAAATATCAAAATATTGCTGTTTTCCACGAGGCTTTATCCTATGCATGTATAATCATTCCCCTACTATCACCAGTGTCTTACATTGTCTAATATCATCTAATCAACTAACCCCCGTTTGTTCTAACATTTAGCTATGGAATGATTTTCAACTACAATGGGACCCAGCTGATTATGGAAACATTCCTTCCATACGGGTACTCCCGGAGAAGGTATGGAGACCAGACATAGTGCTATTCAACAAGTAAGAATATTTTCTGCATTCATCTGGTAGCAAAATAGTTCTCAATTTGTATACATTTTGAATTGTTGCAACTTGTTACTTTTGAAGTATGTAATATTCCCTATCAAAATTACAGTACAATGTAATTGAAGCGAATAATGCCTCTCCAAAATATAGTCTACATATGCTCTTAAAATTTGCTTTGTTACTCTGTAGTATGCGGAGAACGAACCTTGATTAGTACCGTTATTATACCGCTAAAACAAATAGCATCGCTGAAATACTATAGAATAACGATATGGCCATTTATCAGCATTTAATGGTATCATCCTTTTTATACTGTAGAACCGAATCACTATTGGACATTTCCTAATCAATCTGATAGATAAATGCATGTGTAATACTAACCAATGACTGGAATAACACGGTTGATCAAGCATGATTGCATATTCACAGTTAGAAATGTATTATGTTTGGATCATTTATCAATGTACAGTATATGACCTTGCTTGTATATATAAAAAATAACTGGTCTTGTACTACATGTGTTCAAAATTATTGTAAATATTTTTTATGTTAGTTCTTAATTCCACCGAATATAGTATGTTTTAAATAGGTTTCAATTCAAATAAATATGAGTATAATGCTTACTAAATTGTGTATATAATACTTTTAAAGTTGTTTCCACTATACAGTGCTTTATTATACATAATAAAAGACACACCATTGTTGTATTTGCAGTGCTGATGGTAAATACGAAGCAACATATTCCCCTAATTGTGTTCTATATAATGATGGGACAGTTCTTTGGATACCTCCAGCTATTTACAAAAGCTCATGTACTATTGATGTGGAATATTTTCCCTTTGATGAACAAAAGTGCGACATGAAGTTTGGGTCGTGGACGTTTAACTCTGACCAAGTAATGTTAGGGTGGTATGAAGGGAAAAAACAAGTGGACCTTACGGATTATGTTAACAGCGGTACCTGGGATATAGTAGATAATCCTGCAGAACTGACCCACACGGACCAAAATAAGAAAACCATGATCACTTTCACATTGAAAATCAGAAGGAAGACTTTATTTTACACTGTTAACCTCATTATTCCTTGTGTGCTGATATCATTCTTATCTGTTGGAGTTTTCTATGTTCCCGCTGACGCAGGAGAGAAAGTTACCATGGTGATAAGTATCTTATTGTCCATGGTTGTGTTCTTATTGCTTGTATCAAAGATTCTCCCTCCTACATCGGAGACAATACCACTCATTGCCAAATACTTACTATTTACATTTATAATGAATATATTCACTATAGTGATTACTGTGATTATCATCAATTGGAATTTTAGAAATCCTCGGACACACAATATGCCCAACTGGGTACGTGTCGTCTTTCTCAAGTGGCTACCAACAATACTATTTGTAAAGAGACCAAATCACGGAGATAGATGGCTGAAGAAAATTCAAAATAGGAAAATATCCTACCCAAGCTCTAACTACGACCCCAAAGCATTTAAAGTGAATGCAAACACTGAGCTATTGGAGTTATCTGATATGCATCACCCTAATTGTAAAATGAACAGGAAACCTTCTCGTACAGATGGGGAAGGTTTGAATGGAAGACAAGACGAATACCATCAGTCAGTGTCTCCAGAAGCTCACAAAGCCGCAGAAGCAGTTAGTTTTATATCTCAACATCTCAAATTGGAAGATGAATATAATGACGTAAGTATGATTGATATAGTTGGCCACATATTCATTTCTGTAATAAAACAATATTAGTACAACATAAAGGAGATTACGTTGTCAAATATAGCCTCTGTGTCTAGGGCCTATGTAAAACATCTACTGTTAATTCCATAAAATCTCTTATCCATATAGATTCTGCATTACATTTCCCTCTCCATGATTCTTTGCATTTCTAATGCCATACTCAGTTTCAAGGTTGTCTGTTCAAATGCTTCCCAAGCACTTGCGTTTTTCGCTTTCCCGTTGGCTCATGATATTTCGAAAAAAATTGACGCTTGTATATGCATGAGTAATTGCATGATTACCCAAAACTAATGTACAATGGGGGAAATGATCAAATTATTGAAAGGAAACAATAGCACGTATGGGTTTTGTTTTTCATACATTGTTACTTATGGTGTGCTTTTCCCGGATTTAAAACGTTATTGTCTCGTAACACAGCCGGGGGTACATGTTGTTATGTACCATATTTTAACAGATGATGTGTATGGCGTTCAGTGTGGATCTCTGGAATAATGATTCGAATAAAGGCCGATCAATATAATGTTATAATGAAACATATATACGAGTTATTTTCATAATTAAAAATCAATAAGCATGACGATTGTGGCCCATAAAGGTCTATTTTATTGGATTTTTAATATCTCTTTATTGGCTGAAAATTGGAGATACTGATTGACCATAGTAGGACCAACTGATTTTCAATTTAGGCTTTCTCTCTTCAAACACAATATAGCATTAATAATATGGTTCTCCAGAGGCTGACCAGAAATCTTATTAAAGCATCACATTAGTTTTGAATCGTATATTTCAGAATGCCCTTTAACGTTTTTGGCAATAGATCTGTTCATAATGACATGGTTTCTATTAGATGGTTATTACGATTTGAAACGGAAGTTCATCGATGCTGCCACTCAACTTTATGTTAAACTGTGCTATAACCATGGGAAAATCATAAGCCAACTGTTCCACTGACAACAGTTACAAATATAACGATATATTATATAAGACAAAACTATGCCAAAAGAAACTCTTCAAAATAACTATATTTCAAGACAAGCTTTACCATCCTAATTAACTATGCATGTTAACATCCATGTGTAAAACGTTTGAATGATTGGTTTGTTTTCAGGTTATAGAAGACTGGACATATATTGCCTTAGTTATTGACCGGTTGCTGTTGCTAACATTTCTTTGTATAACGATAGGTGGCACTGTGGGCATATTATGCAAAGCCCCACATATATTTGAATACATAGACCAGGATACAGTGAAACAACAACTATCGGGCGGAGGCTAGGATATTCAACAACAAATTGTATGATAAAAGTCTTCCATAGTTGGTAAAAGAAGCCACATGGTGACTTCATTGAATAGTAATTATGGACATAGTTATTACCATGATGTATATTGTACAGGTGCGAAAGAGCTCTTCACCTCTGTGAGAGCATCTTCATTTACTATAGCAAACCGTCTAGCCGTGTTCAGGTCGTTTACATACATTGAGAGCAATAACCGGGCAGATCATTTTTAGGAATACTACTACTCTCTGATGTTTTGCTGGTATAAGAGAAGTACTGTCAAAGTAAATATGACAGCGATCATTTGGTCTTAAATTACATATTTGTGTTAGATCTCTTAAATGAATAATATTATTATCATATTTAGAACTAGGCATTGATAAAATGAAGCCTATCATATCAACAAAGCTTACCATGGACAAAATAAAAAAGTCTAATTACATCATTTTTGGGTAAAGTTAAATAAACAAGTAGATAGTGAGCTACACTTGCATTGCATTGATATACTGTAAATAAGATTATGTGTTAGATGTGATAAATACATAAGTTAATACATGTATTTTCATTATATAGATTTCATATTTGTTACTCTAATATTATCACCAATCAAAAAATTGGTAATTTTGTGCAGCCAGCTTTAAAAACATGAATTTTAAAAAATTGTAAAGACTTATACGTAATCTTTCTCTTTCATATTTATATACAATATCATACACACAGAAGAATACAGAAGTAGAGACAACTGTTTTGTGACCTCTGATGTTTCCATTGACTCATAATAAATGATTAAGTTAATCCATTTGTCAATAACCGCTAATCAGTCTGAAGTTGTAAGTCCCCGATGCTTTCGATAACTGTGGTATTTTATCAATAAATATGTCGATTTGTACTTAGCTATTTCTTATGCCAAGATCAGGAAGCAAGTTTTATTTTTTACATTCTTATATCATTTTTACCTCTGACACTCGTGTGACTACTGTCCTTCATTCTGATTACATTACGTAATTTGTAACTTTCTTAAAATTACTTGTGTATATTTTAGTATAGTGCATCATTTAAGATGATTCACATGCCATGTTCATTGGTCATTGAATGATTGTGTGAAATGTATCTCTGTCAATCACAATAGATTTTCCACTGATTACCAATTTTCTAGCAACTTACAAGGACATATTGTTTGATACATTCAATACAGTTTAAGGTCGTTGATATGAAGGCCAATCAAATATGACAATGATTGATGAATTCCCTTTAAAATGTAAGGCAGAGATAATAAATATGACAACGGTGGTATATGCAGTAGATAGTACATGTTCCGAATGTATTAGTTATTCAAAACGTTTTAAGCTATACCTACTAACAAGATTACATTTTCAAATGCTATTTTAGATATTTCCAATAAATATTATATGGGGTAAATGTATTTACAATATTTAGAATGGCATATTTATAAAATATGTACATAGAAATATTATCATACATCAGTGCATATATTCAAATGAGACATATTGTAAATACTATTATATTTTCTATGCAATATTATCTTGAATCTGTAGTAAGAGAGACACATACTTTATGTTCTCGTGTACTTGCAAATTTAAACGACAAAGACTTGAGCGAATATTGCGTTTCTACATTTTTGTTTGGCTAATGCTAAATACTTTACTTTGGTAAGCTAATTTTTATCACTTTTGATGTAAGATCTATGGTGTAGATGTAATAAACTACGTTGCCAAAAATATGTTAATGTTGTACATATGACATTATATTTGGCTAATGGTTGAACACTGATATGTTGTAAATACTGTATTTGTCGGAAAAACTGTCCGGACATATCGTTGAAATAAACTACATGTACAACTTATTATACACGTTGATATTATTTGTCACTGTTTTGGGTAACTGAATAATAATCAGGGGTGCAATAGATGTTTATAATCCAATATAAATATCAAAAACGGACTTGAGCTTATATTAACACCAATTTGAAGCATTTTCTGCAGTGGTTGATTTGCAAAGCTTTGCTTAAAACTAACAATAACAATGTCGTCATAGGTTTTCACACAGTTCATGATTGCTGTATATATCAAATTATTTGAAAAAGGTAAATTGATGAATAAGATGTGGCTATATGGGTGTAATTTAGTAATATTTATTTGTACATATATATTATTTGAGACAATTGATGTGTCTTCTCGAGGATCCCATATGCTGTCAAACTAGTCTGTTACACACGGTGAGTGTAAGTAGAAGGTCAATGTTTATAAAACAAACTCATTTTTGGTAGATATATCTTAAGCATAAATCAGTGCAAAGAATGGAATGACACTAATATAGCTAGTAGAACAAGAATAGTACGAAACATTCATTTATTTTGCTTCCAGGTTTTAGAGGATTGGACTTACGTAGCTTTAGTCATAGACAGGTTACTTTTGATAATTTTTCTCTGTGTGACAGTCGGTGGGACGATTGGAATCCTTTGCAAAGCGCCACACATTCTTGAAAACATTGACCAGAACGAGATGAAGATGTTTTTGACTGATAAATATAATAAGGAAGCTGCAGCTCTTGGCCTCGGGCAATAGATCACATTTACAATGATATGGCTACATTCAAGAATGTTTGTTCTAATGTCTGCAGCATCCATCTGACGGACACCAATCCTAAAGTATAAATTGTATCAAAGGCACAATGGCAGCTGATGGCGTTATATTAGGAATCAAATCCAACACCAGCAGAGCGTTTCAATGAATAGTAATATGATTATTATTAATAGTCAGATTCACTTTTCTTATATTCGTATGTAGAATTTTAAGGTATTTTAATATTACACTTGATAAAGATCGACTTTTGTCAGGTCAGTCGGCTTTGCTGTCCCCATACATGTGCATGGGCTGGACATTTGACCCTCAATGATCACCACGAATGGCTTATAAATTATTTCACCTTTGTTGACCCATCATCCACTAACCAAGTTAAAATTTTAATCAGACGATGACAATTTTAATTTTAGTCAGATAATGTTGTAGATAATATGGATTGCTTTTCAAATAGTGTAATTTAGACTAATTGTAGCTCATCTACTTTTCAGGTCAGACAAGATTGGATGTATGTCGGCAAAGTCATTGACAGGTTCCAACTCGTTCTGTTTTTCATTGTAACTATAGGTGGTGCCTTTGGTATACTTTGGAAAGCGCCATATATATTTCAATTTATCGACCAATGTGATATATTACGTCAATTAAATGATAATAAACCCACGTTCTCATGTCCTGATAAATAAAAAACTGATCAAATATTTCAGTTAGTCACGATATGGGGATTCGGTTCAATCAGTTTTTACTCCGTTGACTGTTTTTTAAATTGTATTGCCAAGAAGCACAAAATGCAACACAAAGGGAAAACTAAAATTAATGTTTCTCTAAGGAGTATGTTGATTATATAGAATTTATCAGTATTGCATTTGTTCAAGCTTCATATAGGTGATCCTGTTACAAACTTTTGCATATACAAAGCAAACATGTTCTAAAGTTATAAATTAGCACTTGAATAATGAAGATGGCTTTTGTTCATAAAATGATTAATTTTTAGCATTCCAACGATTTTTGATACGCCATGGATTTTGATAAATTAGCCAGGGCGAGGATTAGAGGGAAAGTAAACCCTTGCCTACATGCATTTGGAAGCATATTACATGTATGCCCTGTTAAAAAAGATGGCCTTACAAGTGATATTAGAAACAGCTGAATGATATAAGGTTTTGTCGGACGAAAACCCACGGACCATGGGCTCGGCTATAGGTTTTGTTCATATTATGTCCAATTCATTACAACTGAACCAATTTATTTATTGTTAATAATCATTATTTAGTTATTGATGAGCCGCATGGGCCACTGTATCTTATGTCAGTATAATTTACGGTTTTCGTTAACCACTGAACTTATATAGAAAAGTATTAGCTGATATAGAATAAGGAAACATCGTAACCACTCTTAGTACAATATAGTCATAAACGACAACTGATACCGTCATTCATAGTGGTATGAATGGACAAATCGTGTACATATATGTCGTATACAAGTTTGGCATTCGAGATTCGTCTGAAACAATACTCCACTCATTGTTCACCGTATCTAAAATTATGATTCTACAGAAAAAAGTACGATAGGGAGGGAGGTAATTTATCAGTTCATGTAATGTTTTAATTTTGTTCCATTCGTGATGGTTAAGTCGCATTATTTTTATCAGTTAATATCGCATATTTGACTTCTTACACAGTGTTGATTTTGTAGTACGCATGTTACTGAATAAATGCTTGTTAAACTAAAGCTAGAATCAGAAATTAAAGGGTGAAAAAAGGTAAGCGATATTTATAATTGATTAAACCATATGTGCTATATTCCATTCCAAATGAAATATACTTAAAATGAATCACGATATCTTAGAAATAGCTTACGTAAGTCGGATAACTTTTATCCGTCCTCTCGGATAATATTCTAACAAATTAAAATGACATTTATGAAAATGAACAACACAGAAATGTTCGAATGGATGATATTTTCTAGATTACTTATGAATTTGGTTATTTTAAGAAAAGTAGACATCTCAAAATACGATGTAAACCCAAAGACATTCTAAAATTAATGCAATGTTTATAGCAATTGTCTCTGATTCTACCTTTCATCGTGTATTTAGTTTGCATTCACTTGTAATAGGTAATTGTAGATCTTATTTGAAGCATTGCTGACAATTTTTAATATAATAGAAAGCTAACTGTTTTGGCTAGACGCGTCTAGATATAGCCTTGGCAAGCATAGTGACACGCATCGTGATATTATTTGACAACTATTGTTTGAATATTTTCTATCTGTTAAAAGGGACACAGTGACGCATTCTTAAAATTGACATATTCTATGTAATAGTCAATAGTCAATGAACGATTCCTCAAGCATGTAATTTGTGTATGAATGACATGGAAATATGTGTAGAGTCGATGAATGTTTTAATATTTATGTTATGTTCAACCGATTTTGTAAAATCAAATATCATGTACCATGTATACATTTCCCTCATTTAGCATGAAAACCAAAGACTTCATTTTTATCACAGTAGACAGTATCACGTTTGGGTTTCAACACTAATTGAGGGGAAGTGTATACCTAATTTATGCCTGGCTCTTTGGTTTTATTTACAAAATTTATAAATATAACTTTTATGGTATGATTTTAAATAGTGGTTGAAGTTGGAACTTTTTTCCTTAAGATAAATGTGTATTTTCATGTATAGGGAACATAATCACTGTATAAAATTGTGAATATATCATGTATATTATGTGTATATAATCAGATATTTTTAAACAAAATATAATCGCATATTATATATTTGAGATCGGTCAATGCACAAATGTATAAACCTAGGTTGTCACATTGTTATAAAAAGACAACGCTTTTTTATCAGTTAATTAACTGATTAGTGATCTAGGTAGGTATTACACGTGTACGGCCATTATGTACTATTATGCAGTATCTTAATTTGTAACTGTGTTTTACATTTCAGTTGGAATTTCAGAAATGTACAATTTGCAAATATGCAAATGTTATTTACCGTCAATGAGTCGGTGTTCTTCGTTTAAAAATAAATTGAATAAAACAAATTGTGAATAAAATATAAGTCTTAAAATATAGAGTTTGTGTA